TTGGGGGTTAAAAGTGGCGAGACTTTAATTCTAACAAAAATCTAGGCTTATCAAGAAAAAAGTCAACGATGATTTTATATGACAAGGAAGCCCAACTTCTAAATTTATACAGAGGTGCTAACAGGTCACGAAAAAAAATTCATTTTTAAAAAAAGAAGAAAAAAAAAGACAATCCGAAACTTTTCAGATACCATGGAAACGTGCCAGCAGGGGGCCAAATGTTACGGATCATCTAATGCATCCTGTATCAAGACTATTTTATGTGCTACATTACTTGCAAAAACAGATTAACAGAAATTAAGGTACAAGCAGAAGTTTTCAAAATCCGGGTAATTTCAGAAATCCGGTTGACCTTATTTATCCGAAAAATCGGCACCTCTGTAAACAGCTACATGAAGAGCGGACCATTCATCATAGCAAAACCAAAACAACCACATTCCGAGTTCTGATATCTGGACAGTTCAGAAAGCAGGTCTCTTCATCCTATCAGTCAGCCTGCACACTTCAGTCCACTTTTGTCGTCAAAATAATATTATTATGACGTGCGGCACCACTTCGTACCGGTAAAATCTAGTGCGTGATCTTGGCTGAAGTGACGGGGCTTAGGCTATGGAGGGGAGCCCGAGGTGACTCAGGGGGGAAGGGGGGGAGAGAGAGAGAGAAAGACAATGAGAGAAAGAGGGGGGGAGAGAGAGGGGGGAGGGGGGGGGGGGAAGGGAACGGGGTGTCACTTGTGCCGATACACAGTTCACCGATATATACATTATAATATCAATTGTCGAGCAGCCATAAATTAGCCAACATTTGAAACGATACAAAAACAATACCAATTGTTTTGGTGGGTGTCAGCTCTTGTAATACTCTCGGTCTAATTTTATGCATGCATGTCAATAGATGACCCCCTTTTTTTTCCAACATCGGGTCATGAGATCTTTTCAAAGTCCGCTGAGGAAACCCAAGTACATGTCCATGATGCAAAAAGCTGTGGAGGGAGGGGGGAGGGGGGGGGGTCTCCTTTTTCTCGTGACAAATTTTTTCCTCTCCTGTTTTCTTGTGACATATATTTTTTTTCGGGTCAAGATATTTCAGCTCTCCTTTTGTTCGTGGGCAGTGTTTCATCCATACCAATCTTATCATATATGAAGTTGGCAAATGTACGAAGAAAGTGAACTAAGATTTTATCACAAATTGCAACAATGGCAGACTTTCCAAAACATCGGCATTGATGTCTGTGTTGAGGAATTTTATCAAGACAGAATACTTTTTTTTTTAAACTTTTGTTTAAGAAAAGGTAGAACAAAACATGATAATATAAATTTTTCACCACTGTGTGCTGTGTATTGGGGGGGGGGGTGGCTCACATACAGTCAACGTAAAGACCAATGGCATACGTAAAGTGTAAGAACAAAACTTTTCCTTGTACACTTGTGACTTGTGTTTTCCATTTTTGCGAGCATCAAAGTAAAATGAGATAAAAACAAGACAAGTCACACTCCTCTGCATGTTGCGTGTCCTACCAAACATTATTATCAACCCAACCAGCTGTCTAGGGTCTCAGCAGGGAAATATTTCACCACCCATAAAAATATAACTAATTTACTAACTAAGAAAGCACTGAGCACCAGTTGCTGCCACACTGAAGGTAAATTTTCCAGAGAACGAAACATACAACTCACATCATGTATACTAAGGATCCTTTTTCAGTTGTTATCAACAGCAATGTGATATTAAGATAAGATAAATATTTATTGCCCAGCGCTGACACACTGGTTTGGTGTTTCCACTTTCCACACATACACACACACACACACAATGCATGCATACTGATCTCTTCCACACACAAACATAATGTATCACTCATAAACAGACCAACAGCCGCATGTAAAACTACCATCTGATCTCTACAAACCAACCAACCAGAACCCCAAATTAATAAAGATGAAAAGAGAAAAAAACAAGTAGTTGGTGAATGGCGGGGTGAGGAGCCTGAATACAAGTTTTGTCCACAAGATTCCACACTTAAATACAGAACACTCTCTAATGGCCACCTGTGTAAGATTTGTAAGTTGTACAAACAAGGTCCCATTTCCTCCCTAGTCTATTTTTAACATTATAATGAGACTGTATATAAGGTGTTCACCCGTCTAATACAGCCCACTTTGCTCCTCGACAATGGGCAGCCGTCTAAAGACAGTTTCGACTGTAATTTATTATGAAGGATGTTCTTTGTTTTATCAGCATTGTCAAAGTACGGGTCAGAAACACACGGTATCTAGGTTCTCTATAAAAAGTTTAACAGGGTGGAAAATTTTATACAACCTGTGTTTAGACTCTTAATAAACTGAACATTCTATTAAGAATAGTCCGAAGTTGTCTCACTGAACACTGCATCACTGACTACTTGCACAAGATTTCTTTGTTGGTTGAGTAAAGAGAGGCACATCAGCACAATAACAGCCATCTAGTGCTGGGAAAAGCAAGGTGGACAGACAGAAACAACAGACAAAAGAAGTAAGGTCCTAATTGTGACATGATTGTATTTTAGTTTTAGTCACAGTTTTTAGTTTAGTTTTAGTAGAGGTTTTACGGCACTCGCAACTGAATAAGGTCATATGAGCGCCAGAAGATTAGAGGTGTTCCAAGACAGTACTAACAAACATAAGAAAGTAGAAGGGGAGATAAGGACGGTAGATGTTTCATAGGAGAGAAGAAACAAACCACACCAGAGCACCCGCTAACCATCCACCAACAAAATCAACAACAACAACTTCAACAAAAACAACAAGTTTTATGTCACTTGCAACACAATAAGGTCATAAAAGTGCCGAAGATTAGAGGTGTTACAAGAGCATGATTTTGTATGAAGATCAGATGGAGGATAAAATTTCATCAAGAACTAGAGAAATTTAAGTTCCTCGTTAATTGATAGAGACACTTTTTGCCAATTTGGGACTGCCAAATAATCTAAACAGAAAAACCTATTTCTAAAATATCAAAGGCTCAGAGGCAAAGAACAAAATTCCAAAAGTGCTTAAGGTTCTTTTCACTAAGGTCTGTGAACAAAATATTGAGCATGTTATGTTTAAAAACCCTTCCCCCTTTTTCTTTTAAATTAAAAGAAAGAAAAACCAAACATAATTCTAAAAAGCAGAGGACATCGAGGTGCAGCTGATCCTGACTTAACTGATTCAGTCCGCAGCGCCGCTCACAGCGGCTAACCGTCTCCAGTGTTTTGGCGCAGAGCCGGCTCTTATCTATTGCTCCCTTTTCTTCACATACACATCGCTTTCCTCTAGTCTTTTTTCCCAACTGCTTACATTTCTCCCCTTTTTTTCTGCTTTCATTGAATAGCATTTTGTATTCTGAACATTGTATGCCACACATCTAGGGTTTTATCAAATTTAAATATTCTAAAATTAAATTTTTGTAAAGACCACCCCTGAGGTCACAAAGCGGTCACAAATTATATTATTTGCATCCGAAATCAAAATTAACTGCGGGCTGAATCAGTTAACATTTTCTTTTTCCTCAATACCTGTTTCCTTAGGACTTTCCCTTAGTTCAGTCTCAGTATGAGAAGGATTTTAGTTTTCCCTTTCCAATTCTACAACAGAAAATACAAAGTCTCTCTGCCACTTTGAAAACATGAATTTTCAAACTTTTAAAGTGACTTCTTTTCACCTGTGCTGTCTTGTCAACTTAAAAGAAGATTTTCGCAGGAAATATTTCAGTGAAAATCCTGTTTTGCGGCAAGCCTGAAATATATTTACCCCCCCCCCCCCCCCTCCCAATTTTGTTTTTTATTTATCAGAAATTTGTGCGGCTGCAATGGGTTTAACACTAGATCTAGAGTCTAGATCTAAATATAGATCTAGATCTAACAAGCAATTACTGTACAGTAATAACTAGGCTAGGACTAGGAATAAATGACCCATAGTAGTTAGTAGTTGAGTAATCACCAGTACCAGCCAAGCCCAAGGCATCAATTCGTGGTAATTAGAAGTGGGCCAGTGTGCTGCCATGAGAGTGAGCCATGCTAACCTCAGCAAGCACCTCTATATTTGACTTTGAACATTTTTTGTAGGCCTCTATGTGTAGAAATCTAATGAATGAAACACGGTCTGACAGTCCATGACAATGGACAGGTTCTGATTTTAATTCTAGATTGAGATTCAACTAGAATAGATCTAGGCAAGATCATCATCAAGAATGGTTTAGTCCGACAAGACTGTACTACTGTACTACGTAGATCTCTATGTAATTTAATCCCAGTTGAAGTTGATGATTGATGTGGAACTTCTGGCGCTTTTTCGGTAGTTCCCACCCCCCTTATTTGATAGAGCCTGACCTACATCTAGATCTATATACGTTTGATTCGCGGCAAGCTAAGATGTCAAACTTAACAACTGCAAAACATTAAATTGTGGTAAAATTCTGGGGGGGCATGCCCCCCTGAAACCCCCCACCTTGTTTTTATTTGGTCAGGGGGGCAAGCCCCCCTGAAACCCCCCTACTCTTGGGGCCAAAACCGGCGAATAACAAATGCGGGGTGGGAACTAGATCTACCGAAAAAGCGCCGAACTTCTTGGGAAGTACAGACAGTACTGCTATCACTATCACTGGGCGAACGTCGGTCATAGTAAGACGCAGAGTAAGTCCAATTTTTTCAAAATTAGAACGTGTTTAAACATTTAAAAGAACTAGATCTAACTAGAGTCTAGATTCTAGATCTAGATCTAGATCTAGACATGGTCGATGAGTTGGGTGAACTTTGGAAAACGGGAGTGAATTTGAAAACTCAATTACAAAGACAGAGAGAACCCAGCCTCTGCTGACAGACTTTCTATTCTGAGCATGACCTTCATTCCTTCATTGCTTGAGAACAAAATCAAGGCGAAAGAAAGACTACTGGATACATTAAAGAGCATAATTCATTTTCAAACAACAAAAGATGTTTCTCAGAACAACATTACAATAAAATATCATGAAGTTACACTTACCTTTCGGGCGGCAGATCGCAGAACATAGGCCATGTTTCAACAAGGACTGTGCAAGTACACACAATAAGGAAAGGACATTCAGGGGCTTGGGCTAACGACTTTTATCTAACTTCAAGCGGGAAGAGTAGAACGTGAAGGGAAGTAATATTGACGGTGTCATTTTATGTCAAGGCGATAAAGATTAAAATTTGTAGGCAACATATGGCGACAAATAGATCTAGATCAAGATATCTAGATATAGATATCTACATTTGGGTTGTGGGTTTTTAAAAATTATTATTATTGAAAGTAGTTTATGTCCATATCAAATCTATTGATAGTACAAAGAAATTCAGATACTGTATCATGATTGATAGGCTAATCAAACTGTATATATTCCACAGAATTCTACACTTAGTGTAGAATTCTGTGATATATTCCAAACTTCCTTCACAGCATTTTATGGTTTTTCCGTCTGATGGAAATAAAGAATTCGATTGTTCGAAGACATAGTGGTACTAAATCTAGATTTATTTGTTTTAGTAGTATACCTTTACTCCTTTACTTTTGTCATACGCAGTGGCTACGTTCACGGCGCCGTGAACGTAGTCTGTAGGCTAGGTTCACGGCGCCGTGAATGTAGTTGGCAGGCTACGTTCACGGCGCCCTGAATGCAGTTTGCAGGCTCTGTTGAGGCTACATTCACGGCACTCAAGCTTCGTTTAGACGGAGCGTCCACTGCCGGTTTTAGTCAGTGACTACA